TAAAAATCATGAATTCTAATGTATAATAAGAGAATTCAAGAAAAAAGTATACAGTGTAGTCATATATCACCCAAATTTAGTAAATCAACATCCAAAGTTTTGTCAATCGACTACATGAAAATCAAATATCTTTAGGAATTTGGGATGAATGATTTCAACTTTGCACTGGTACTGGTATATAGATACGCCGATACAATGTGATACAACGATACATTAAATTCTAATTACTAATATATGAGTATGGCCAACTAAATCATACATTATATAGGTATGGTATTGCTATACTCGGCCCTGAATCCGCGTGTTGCCATCCCTAGTGGTGGCAGAAGGGGTTTAGGGGTTAGGAGCCATTTTTGCCTCCCAAAATGAAATTATTTATAAGATCTACCGCCTCCAAACTTTTGTTGTTCTAGTGATGAGGGATTAAGGGGTAGAATTCAAAAATATTGTTATATCTATGCTACATTGAAGCATTTCGTCAAACATTTGGGGGAATCGGGCAGTACTTATTTGTGAGTTTAGAAATTTAGAATCACCGTCTCAAAATTTAAGCTTACACAGTTACCAATTAATGTATGAGTTAGTTGGTCAATAAAAAGGATCTTTCACTGGAGTTACTTATAATATAGCCGTTCACGCTCCTCCATTGTACAAAACTTTCTACAACTCCACTACTTGTAGAAATTCCAATGAAATGCTTTTGCTCTTTTAACCAGAACATAAAACAAAAATTGAGAAAGAAAAAAAACCAGAAAACCTGTTACGCAGGTATAGAAATCTGACTTACCTATGATGTGAGCCTTAAAATTCTAAACATGTTTCAGGCACTTGGAAAGAACAATGTATATATAATCGGTAACCGGTTAGTGCTTGAGCGCTGGAAAGAAGCTTGTTTCAAGGTGGGAGAATTGTAGAAACCTCACCATTGGCATTTTCATTCTCAGCAGTCTTGGCCTTTCGATCGTCGAGGTAGTGCTGATAAAGATATGAAACAAAGCCCCAAATGGCCAAAACCATGGCCACTATCTTAATTCGGTCCATTTTGTCATGGAAGAAGATAACAGCTAGAACCGGAACCACAGGCAAACCTAAAGCACTGACGACATTGGAGAAGAGGGAAGATGCCTCAAAAATTAACCCTACTCCGCCAATAGCAAACAGCTGCCATACTATAGCTGACCATGTTAGGTTCATGATATAAGATACCTTCCCGGATTTAAACTCCCCCATCTCTTTCTTCAAACCCTTCCACTCTCCACTAGCGAAAAGCCCTATGAAGATGGCGCAGCTTGCAATCAGTGACTGATAGACTATCATGTCCATGACCGCTGTAAATGTTTCCTTTCTTATAACCTTCCTGAATGCAAGCTGTGTTAGGGAAAGCGTCAATCCATACGAGGCTGATGCTGCAACGGTGCATAGGAAACCAATTACATACTTTCCTTTGGAGGTTACTCCTGCTGCGCCTGAGTCAGAGTCGCCTTGAAACACTAGGAGGACGGAGGAGATGGTGAGCAGGAAGAGAGCGTTGAAAATGTAAGGAGTGAACTTCTGTGAGTTGAGGAAGAAGGAGAAAAGTGCATTGAAGGCCAACTGGGATGCGCAGATGAGGGAATATGTGGAGACAGGAAGGTATGATAGCCCTACAGAATACAAGAAGCAACCAAACGCTACTAGGAGGCCAAGAGAGACATAGACTGATGCAAGGGTTAAGGTAGACGGCGGCGGTTCCGATTGAACACTGTTTGTGGTTGGATTATTTCTTTTCCTAAGTGCTGGGATGCAGTAGTAGGGAAGAAGGAGGGGGAAGCCAGCAAGGTTCATAAGGGCTTGCAGCCAATTGCTATGGCCGCCTTTGTCGAAGTACAATCTTCCCAAGAGTGTTGCAACTGACTGGCCAGAGAGCACTAGGCATGTATAAAGGGTCATTCTAAGCCACCAGTTGAAACTTTTGCCCTGAGGAAGCACCGATGTGTTGCGAATGCTTCTGGAGTTTGCTCCATTTGCATCCTGATGATGAACTGATAAGAACAGAAATGCAAGGATCAGTACTGTTTGTTGCAACTCATGAGATTGATCATGTATACATATTGAATAAATCCAAATGATTATTTCTTATATTTATCAAGAAAAGGTTTACCAGCTCTATCCCATATAATTCTGTCATGTGAATTTTCCCTTGGGCCTACCATCCATTGATAAGTTCGGTGACACAGAAGATGATCAGAAGCCAAGCAACCAAGCAACCATATTCTTTAAGGCTTTATTTGGATGGAGGGATTTGGAAAAAATGATTTGGATTTGAGAATAAGGCTAAATGTGCTACGAAAATAGAACCAAATTAGATTGAATGAATTTGCAATAACTAGATGTAGCACATTTGAAACTTTATGCAATGAATTATTTGAAATTCATCTGTTTTCTTCCTTCCTTTCACATCTAA